ATGTTCCTATTTCTCTCACCATGTTTTCACCTGACAGACTGTACAGTTTCCGGTATTGTTTATATGCAATAATGAAAATGGCATCCATATGTGGAACACTAATGTATCAGACACTATTCTGGATGCTCTTCTGTACTAGACCATCCTTTCTCTTTCTAACACATGCAACTGCAAACTCAGTGTTTGAGACACCCCTTTCCAGATGAGGGACAGGCTCGGAGGACTAAGTGACTTGCCCAAGGTCCCCAGAGCCAAGTAGATTCCAAGCTCTTTCTACTAAACTAGGCTGTCTCCAGGCCTGTATGTAAAGCAATTAAATGAACATTTTCTTATGTAGCCCCCATTCTGTCAACCTGAGTCATTAGAAGTACCAAAGAAATGTTCCAGTCCTGAACTAGACTGGTGAAGTAAATGAGGCCTGAATTAAACCTACTTTCAGATTTGTGTCCTTTGGTTTTACCCTCATTCATGTCTTTATTTTTTTTTTTTTACATCTTTATTGGAGTATAATTGCTTTACAATGGTATGTTAGTTTCTGCTTTATAACAAAGCGAATCAGTTATACATATACATATGTTCCCATATCTCTTCCCTCTTGCGTCTCCCTTCCTCCCACCCTCCCTATCCCACCCCTCCAGGCGGTCGCAAAGCAGCGAGCTGATCTCCCTGTGCTATGCGGCTGCTTCGCACTAGCTATCTACCTTACGTTTGGTAGTGTATATGTCTTTATAAAATACAAATATATGGTATTCATGCTTCCCTGATGTTTTCTTTCAACCTTAAATCAAATCTCTTTTATCCTTGTATACTTATATCAAAGATTTACAGGTACCAGTGGTCTGTTCTGCAAGAATCAAATTAAACTCAAAATATAGAAACCTACTGAAAAATAAACTCAAATGTATAAGCATCTTGTCATCTGCATTGCAGCGAGGGCTGCACTTTGCTCTGAAAGGCTGAGCTATGCTGGCAAGTGGACTTTAAAAAGCAGAGGTGTTTACTCTTTCCTTAGACATTCATGGAAATCATAATAGTAGCTAAATTAAGAGGACATTGGAATGAAGCTAATTTTTTTTATAGTTCATAAAAGGGCCCCCTCCCTGCCCCTGTTAAATCTTTTACCTTTGGAAAAGGAAAGATGCAAAGAATTCAGCAAACACTTAAAACTTTTCTAGCTGGAAAACTGGTTAAAAAAAAAAGATCTATTTTGCAAAATTTGTCCCACAAAGAAAATTAGTATATATTAACTTTTGCCATATGATACTGAAAACGACCATCAGTGATGAGCATATTTGACCTAGCTGTTGGTTCGCTTTGCTCTAATAAGTTAACCTGACTAAGGAAGCCCAGGATCCATTATTCCCAGCAGAGCTATTTTTGTTCTGTCTGTGGGTGGGTCTAGTACAGCTTGTCAGTGTCTCCTCCGCCACATCCTGGCACCACTTAATTATCGTTAAAAGGTTTAGTCACCCAAATGTTAACAAGCAGTGAACTCTGCTGCACAGGGGCTAAAAAAGCAGAACTTTATTAGTCTATTACTAATTTTTAAAGTGTAAAATAAACATCCCCAACTGATTCCACTTTGCAGGGCCACCCCTAGTCCTTTGGGCCAATTAGAAATAAAGGTGCCCGCTATGGGCTGAGGGAAGTCTCACACAGGCAAGGCTTGATGAGAGACAGAGATGGATTTCAGCTCTCACTTGAACCCTTGGCCAGACACCTGTGTGCACTTCAACAAACTGCTTAACTATATATGAAGGCCCAGCCTTCACTCCCTATCTATCTGCTTAGTAACAAGATAAGGAGGCACCAACAAATACCCATTTGCTCCCTTCATTTTATCTTGGACAAGGCTTGAGTTCTACAAGGATATAATCAAGTATGTTTCCTAATATTTTAACAAATAATTCATCTAGCCCAATGATAGTCAACCCTAGTACTTATTAGAATCATCTGGTGGAAGTTTAAAAAATACCGATGTAAAAAAAAAAACAAAACAAAAAAACCGATGTCCAGGACTCACTCTAGTCTAAGGCGAGAGTCCCAGTGCATCAGAATTTCTAGGGGTGGGACCAAGGCACGAATATTTTAAAACACACACACACACACACACACACACACACACACACACACAGCAGCAATACACATTCGGGTGATCCTGATGCACAGTAAGAGTTGAGAATCACTGAGATTGTATTTAACCTATATTCTTTCCACTGCATCATCACAGCTAAATACAATGTAAGCTCTCAAATTTGTGCATTTGTTTTATCCTCTCTTTAGACAGTAGGCTATTTAGGAGGAGGGACTCACCTTTCAAATATCTTTGGTTCTTCTTTAGCATAGTACCTTGAAATGACAGGTTCTCAATGGACAGTTTATGGTAGAAAAAGAGAAGAGCCAAAGGATACAGGCAAAAATATAAAAAGTGGTTACTCCTAGTGTTGAGATGGGTGACATTACTTTTCTCCTTTTTCCTATCTATATTTTTGGTATATTCTATCATGAACACACATTACTTTCATTAAAAAGCAAAGTTATTAAAAAAAACCCAAAACCTGCTAGAATCTTCCGGAATCTCTAGAATAGACAAAGAGCACTGTTTCTCTTTACAGAACAAGTGTATTCCTGAAATGTACCCAAGTCATACAGCCTTATAAAAAGAAGTCAGGAATCTATAGATACTCTCTGGTTAAGCTTTGACTAGTATTTGTTCCTAATAATTAACTTTTCTTTCTGCAATTCCAATGTTTCCTATTTGTTCCAACTTCTGACCCCAAGTGATTAATGATCAATAAACCAATACTTAAATGTCCCAAGTTATATCTTTTTACAGACATAAATTTACTCATTCTTTTAACAAGTAATTTATTGAGCGGCTGCTTCTTACATAACACATTAAAGAAAGAACTACTGTCCTTACTCTCCGGGAGCTTACAATCTGATTAGAGATACATGGGACAGAATGATATATTTCTGGCACAGATAATAAGTACCATAGGAATGCAATGTAAAGAAAAGTTACTTTGTGTTGACTGGGGACTAAGTGATGAACAACATAAGGAAAGGTAGAAAAGAACAAGCCATGTTTAGGAGTAGAGTGCCTGGCTAGAGAAGACAAACTGAACAAGAAAAGTGGCATTCATAGAAATTTAAAGTGGGATGAGCCTTATGTACCTTCTAATGTAATCCTTCCTACTGCAAGTGTATTCATCCTTTACCTACCAGTTTAAGCCCTAAAAGCTCTAACTCCTCCAAGCAGATTCTCTCCATAGCTTTTGGTCCCTGGAGTTACAGACTTCCCTGCAGTCTATTAGGACTCTGAACATCTGAGTATGACTGATCTCTTTTTTTTCAGGCAACCCAAATAAAGGCATTTTAAAAACTGTAAACAGGTATAAAAGTGTTATTTAATATAGTTATTCTCCAATTCTTTCACTAGTAATCTTTTACAAAACTTGTAAACCTGATCGTGCCACACCCTGCTTAAAGCCCTTCAGTGATGTCCCATTTTTCTTACAAAAAAAGGCATAAATCTTTTAAATGACCTACAGCTCTTGCAATGTCTGGTCCCTGCTTACTACTCTTTTTGTTTCTGAAGGAGATAAATGTGTCTCCCATCGCTGAGCTGCTTCCTCTGGAACTATTCTCTACTCCTAATTTGGCCTAGTTAGCTTCTACTCAACCCAAATCTGTTTTTTTGTTTTTGCTTACTCTCAAAGAACCGTGCTCCTTTAGGTTTGTGTTTTATGTATCATTGGTTTGATTCTTTAACTGATTCTCTATCCCACTAGAAAATAAAGTCCATGATATCGGGGACGTTGTCATTTACATGCCTGGGGATACCAGGCAATCAGCTGATACTTGTCGAATTAATAATTGTTGTTAGACTGTCTCTTCCAATTACATAGCAGGCAGTCCAGTGCCTGCTTTGGCTCTGCTTGTCTGAAAAAGCATTTTACTAACTTGTACCTATTAAGAGACTCTAGACAAACAATTGCGCACTGCCCAGAAGTGCCTCGAATTTAAACAGGAAGTCGTTACGTCACTTCCACGGGCCTCGCGCTAGACTGGGAGAGTGGCTCTGGGGTGGCTGAAGAAAGGGGCCCGCGGCGCGCGGATGAACTAGCCCGACGAGAATTCAAGTCTCCAACCAAAGCGTTTTGCCTCTGAAGTATTCTTCAATCTCGGTCAGCTTAGCTACTCCCGCGCAGCTCGAGCGGAGCTTTGGGGGGACGCTGGGCAAACGCTTTGGCCAAAAGGAACGCAGACTCCCCGACCCCCAAGATCCGCACTCTCCCCCCACCGGCAGTCCCAGATCTTGGAACTGGGCAGTCTCGAGCCGGCACCTACCTCCCGAAGCAGCTTTAGGTCCCCCTGCTGGATCTCGTACAGCTGAATGACGCCGGTGCCGCGTGCGAAGTTGCCCATGGTCACAAATTTGGCGCTGCAGGGCACCCACTTACAGTCAAACACCGTATAATTGAGGCCCTTCTGGATATGGGTGATGATCTGAGGCTTCTCGAAGGCCGACATGGTCCAGCCGATTGATTTCGCCTCCGCCAACAGGTACACTGCCGACAAACTGACAAAACACTAACCTGGAAACCAGACTCCAAACGTCAAGGATAGTTTGTCCCTCCCGCTTGCCGTACGCGCCCTCAGACGCCCTAGCAAGTTGGTTTTAGGTGTCTCAGATAATGCCGGATGCTCTACTGAAGGCACAGAAGATTTTTCTTCACCAACAACACAGACTTGTTTATGCCTTTACCTTTTACCTTTCGTATATATACAGGTTAGAGATTACAAAAGTTTTGGCTGCGAGCGGCGGGGCAGAGGGCGACCTTAAGAATCAGTCATATTTTAGGACAGCCCTTCCCCCTCCCCAACAAACACACACAAACTCCTGCTCCAGGTCCCCTGAATGGGACTTCTTAGGAAAGGGGGCGGAGCCCTAGGGCTGGTTGGCGAAGGCTGGGTCCTGCGAGGCGCGCCTGCGCCGTGCAGCCCCGTCCGTGTTCCAGCAGCAAGCTTCCGCTGGCGCTGGAGTTTCTTGAGGATGCAAACCGAGATGGAGGCACAGAGCCCCTTGGCCGAGGCCGGCTTCACCCAGGTCACCCGAAAAGGTGGTCGGCGGGCGAAGAAACGGCAGGCTGAGCAGCTGTCCGCACCGGAGGAGGGCGGGGACGCGTCCCGCATGGACACCGAGGAGGCCCGCCCTGCCAAGAGGCCCGTGTTCCCGCCCCTCTCCGGGGACGGGTTTCTGGTACTGGCGGGGACCGAGGGACAGGAACGGGGCAGGGGCCAGAGCCGGGTCAGGACGGTGGCCTCTGGGTGATGTTGAAGCTTCTTCTGGCCTGAAGCTCTTAGAGAGATGACTCTCCTGATGTTTAATTCGTCCAGTTAAAGGGGGCTTTTTGATAATCAGCTGTTGTTTCATATCTCCACCCACCCCCTATTCCTCCAGACAACTCCTGAGTTGTGTTTTCTTGTATCATAGGGTGGGAAAGAAGAAACCAGAAAAATTCCAGTCCCAGCTAACAGATATACTCCCTTAAAAGAGAACTGGATGAAGATATTTACTCCTATTGTGGAGCATTTGGGACTTCAGATACGCTTTAACTTGAAATCGAGGAATATAGAAATCAGGGTGAGGATAATATTAACCATTTTCAAATATACTGCGGTTTCTCATTTCTTCGGGGATGAAAAGGCATGAATAGACTTTCCTTAATGAGGCTTATTTTGTTGATTTTCTTCCAGTTTTCTAATATATTTTAGTGTTTGAACCTCTCAAATGCCTTCAAAATCTGCATGCAACACAATTATTAGTTGAACTCATAAGTTCGGCCTGAAATCATACTAAAATACCAGCAGTGTCTTAGAAGACTTTTAATAATGTTCTGTTTTAATTGAGAAAAGGCTTGGTAAAGAGGTTGTCATGTTTCAGAAGTATTTAAGTAAGCAACCAAAGTATTTGCTGCAGTACAGGTGCTATATATTTTAGTGGTATTTTTTTGAAAAAAAAAAGTATTAAGAATAAGTGTAAATTGTGTATAAATGTGTTTATTTACTTATTCATTTGTTCATTCCATGATGTCAGTCTAGGAGTTAGACGAAATTAGTAAACTTTGGGGTATTTTGGGGTTTTTTTGTTTTTGTTTTTTTAAATTATTTATTTAATTATTTTTGGCTGTGTTGGGTCTTCGTTGCTGCATGCAGACTTTAGTTGCAACGAGCGGGGGCTACTCTTCGTTGCAGTGCCCAGGCTTCTCACTGTGGTGGCTTCTCTTGTTGGGGAGCACGGGCTCTAGATGTGCCGGCTTCAGTAGTTGTGGTGCATGGGCTCTGTAGTTGTGGCGCACGGGCTCAGTAGTTATGGCTCACGGGCTCTAGAGCGCAGGCTCAGTAGTTGTGGCACACAGGATTAGTTGCTGCGCGGCATGTGGGATCTTCCCAGACCAGGGCTCGAACCCGTGTCCCCTGCACTGGCAGGCAGATTCCTAACCACTGCGCCATCAGGGAAGCCAGGGGGTTTTTTCAGGGTGCCAATTTTGTATCAAAATCAGTGACCAAAAGTAATTATATCTTTCTTTTTAACGATTCATTATCAGGACTGGTATAGACTCATCTCTTTTGAAGGACTAGAATAATGGAATAAAGCAGAGATGCACCGGTCTAAATAGTTGGCAAAGTTTAAAATAGAGAACTTGACAGTAGAATTCCTCTTTGTTCCCATTGGCACTTTCATTCAGGTTTTTATGGCTTTCTGCCAAAACCTCTTGTTTGCTTATAAGTGTCCTTTACCTCATTGCTTTAAACCTCCTTTCACCACTCCATCCTCTATGCCAGAGCCAGATTAATTTTCTCAGACCACACTGGTTTTATTGATATCTTGGTATTTTCAGTAATTCTGAAAGATAAAAGTTTTTGACTGAATTTGCCTTTCAAGTAGGAGTCTCATTCCCAAGTTCTCTCACCATCTCTTTGAACATTTTTCTGACCATCATTATGGATGGATTTGTTCTCTGAAGGCCCTCTCCTCCCTACTTCCTTTTTCTTCCTCAGTTTCATCATCTTTCAGGGTCTGGCTCAAGTTCTTTATCCTTTATCGTCAGTCCATTTTTCAATCTTGTCTTCAGGGCCTAAACGTTTATTGTGCTTAACTGTCTTGAATTGCAGCACCATCAATTTGGATTCCACTGACATTTGTTGATACTGCTTTGTGCCAGACACATAGCAGTGGTTTGGCAGGCACTACATCATTTTGGTCTTAAGGACAGCCCTATGAGGTAGATGACATAGCCCATCTAACAGATGTGAGGAAACTTGCCAAGGAGTTCCTTGGCCAAAGTCATCAATGCTAGTAGGGACTCTTCCATTCCAACCTCCTTATTTTACAGATGAGAAAACTCAAGACCTAGAGCATTCACGGGACTTGCCTAAAGTCACATATAGAGTTGCGACTGGGATCTCGTTTTATATGTGCCATTACACAACCCTGTATGGTTTCAAATTTGTCAAATATGTGGTCTCCTCAACTCGATTGTGAGTCTGTGTGGGGGAGGAGAAATGATGGTTTTGGAATCAGATCTGTGTTCAAATCTTATTTTTTTACTTTTTGGTACTTGAGTTTCCTCAAATATAAAATATTTATCTTACTTAAATTTAGGTTGACATGAAGATTAGAGCTGTAGTGTGTCAAGCACCTTTGTAGTACACATCATTTACAGGAATGGGCATCTTATGAATAGCACGTGTATCTGTGATTATCGAATAAACTCTTTGAGGGCAGGATCCCCTGCTTAAACCATTCTTGGTAATTAGTACTAGAGTTGTTGCTTTGGGAAAGAAAAATCAGCACAGGAATGATGGTTGAAGTTGGGTGATTAGATCAGGACTCCCAGGGAGACTGCACTGAAGGAGAAGAGAAGAGGACCAGCTTGGGTGGAGATGGGCCAAGGATGGAGGTCCTTCAGAATGGGAGCCATTGGAGGAATCTTGCTGGTAACTCCAGAGTCAGATCAGCCTTGGAGTACAGTAAGTCATTTGACAGTCTTTGGGGGGCACTGCCCAGTTCTGGAGTTAGCAAAGTTTTGTTTTGAAAATTAAACACGGTACTTACCTCACCAAAAACCGGGTCATAGAGAATGTATTGGGGAAGGGTGGTAGCGAAGGAAATTATAATAATTGGAAAGGTCAATCCTAGTAGTTTGTTAGAATATTATCTTTTTCATTCTGAGCTATAATTTGTGCTCCATAGCCCCACCTTTTTTTTTTTTTTTTTTTTTTTAACAGACTTGTAAAGAAACCAAAGATGTTAGCGCTCTGACAAAAGCAGCTGATTTTGTGAAAGCCTTTCTTCTTGGGTTTCAGGTAGAGGTGAGTGATTTCATGATATCTGAAATGGGGGCTCGGAAAATACGCCATATGACTGTCTTGATGGATTTGGGCTTTTTGTTTTTTGTTTTTTAATTTGAGTGTTGTCGTTCTACAATTTATGAGAGTTAGCGTAACACTCATTCGCAGGTGCCTGAACGGAAAAGCTTCACAGTGTGTATTTCTGTATTGTAGGACGCACTTGCCCTCATTAGGTTGGATGACCTCTTCCTAGAGTCTTTTGAAATTACAGATGGTGAGTGTATGGTGGTCTTTTCATATGAACTACTGGATGGTACTTTTGTATTGTTTTGTCTTGTACCTGAGTCTCAGCTTTCCAGTCACATCAGTTGAGTCGTGTTATTAGCAGCTTTTTCAAAAATGCGTGTTTTATGTCTTTCAGTAGGGAAATTTGGCTAATGATTAAACTTCCCATGGAAGTGGGTGATGCTGGGATGGCTTTCCTCCTGAGGTCTTGCTTTTCTCATTTAGTTAAGCCCTTAAAGGGAGACCACCTGTCAAGGGCAATAGGAAGAATCGCTGGCAAAGGAGGAAAAACCAAATTCACCATCGAGAACGTGACACGGACGCGGATAGTTCTGGCTGATGTGTAAGTATGTGATCTTGAGAAAATTATTGTCATAATTTATAGTTGATCGTCTGCTGGTTTCAAGAAGTGATAAAGATTGTATTTTACATATAACGTAGCCACTAAATCTTTGTCAGGATATGGTTCTGGATGAATAGTTACCTACTTTGAAAACAGATTTAGTTGAGAAAATCTTAGATATTATAGCTTTTTTCTCAATTAGTAATGAAGGAAATGTTTAGAATCACTGTTAAAAGAAATTATATGACAGGTGAAGATTGAAACAGTATCTCAGGAGAATCTATTAAATCAGTAGAGGAGAGCAAGGAGTAGGTGTGTTGAATGCCATCGTGAGGCTTTCCTTTAAAAAAGAAAAACATAAATGTAAATACACACACATGAACATATATATAAAGGCCTATCATAAAAGGAAGGTGCGCATTGCACATTGTGGGAAAAACTAGAGAGCAGTTATATGTGAACATCGATAAGATGATACAGGCTTAAAATAAGGGTGCAGGAAGTCAAGCTGGGATTACCCTTCCCTGCCGGAGGTGAAGCCGCTCTGTTGCCAGTTTGGGGTTACTGGCAGATGGCGCAGAGATTATATAATGCCGTGAAGTTGGGAAACGAAGCAGTTGACTGAGAGGAGGAGGGACCTGCCTACTGCTAAATCCAGAAATAATTTTATTTAAAATCATCTCATCTTTGCTCTGAACCAAGGGGCTCACCATTATTTTCGAATCTGAATTTTAGACTTTTTTTTTTTTCTTTTGCGATATGTGGGCCTCTCACTGTCGTGGCCTTTCCCGTTGCCGGACGTGCAAGCTCAGCGGCCATGGCCCACGGGCCCAGCCGCTCCGCGGCACGTGGGATCCTCCCAGACCGGGGCACGAACCCGCATCCCCCGCATCGGCAGGCGTACTCTCAACCACTGCGCCACCAGGGAGGCCCTAGACTATTTTTTATACTGTAAATAGAAAACTGTTAACACTACATTGGTGGCCCTGTTTACCTGAAGACAGGTGTGTTATAATTTTGACCTTTTATGACTTGAGCCTGGAGTTGGGACCACAGAGCCATGGGAAAAGCTCTTTTGAATTAGAAATTTCAAAAATTGAAATGTTTACCACACTTTAAAATATCATAAACAGCCCTAAAAGTTTTTGTTAATTTAGAAATTTAAAAATGTAACTGATTTGCTAGTCCAGTTATGGTGACACATCATATTAAGTTTATAATTTATAAATGTATCAGTGTATTTCTAAGGGTTAACTTAAAATTTACTCATTGAACTAATTTTTTAAACAGCTGTATTACAGTGTGGTTTACATACAATTAAAGTCACCTGTTTTAGATATATAATTCAATGGGTTTTTGGCAAATACTCTGCAGTCCTGTGATCCCACTGTGCTCATTTCCATCAACCCAAAAGTTCCTTGTGCATCTTTGCAGCCCCTCCCAATTCCCAGGCAATCACTCATTTCCTTTCTGTCACTATGGTTTTGCCTTTTCTCGAAATTCACATAGGTGTAAATACACAATATGTAGTCTTTGATATATGGCTTCTTTTAATTAGCGTGTTGTTTCAAGTTTCTCCATTTTGTTGGGGGTTAGTAGTAGGTTTTTTTTCAGTGCCAAGTACTGGCAAAGAAATGTAGTGTCTTGCAGTTTTTGCTGTAAATAGGCTAATTGGAATCCACCTGTTCAACAATTTATATTAGTTGTGATACAGCCATAAGATGGACTGTTATGCACCCATAAATGTTATTTTTGATAAGTTGCTGAAAACCTGGCAAAGATCACAGTAGGATGTGAACAAAATATAAAACTGAAAACCATTTGTTCCAGATACATTCAGGGTATCGAACGGGAAAGAATGTGACCTATGTGTCCTGGGACCTGTATGCCGTTCCAAGGACTGCCCCATTGCTTTGGTTGTTTTAGCAGCAAAACTACTCACACTGTATGTATCCTTGCTTCTGTATCTCCTCATCTTTCATGCTGTACTTCACAGAATTTTGTTTTCATCGAAGTTACACATACACATACTTTAAAATAATTCCTCCTGTCTGCTTCCATTTCCCCCTCCTCTGACGGAGGAAATTTCAAGTCTTCAAGTTCAGCTAGCTAACTTGTAAAAATTATTTTTCCTCTGTGTTTCCAAATATCTTTGTATAGCGGCTTAATTTTTTCCCCTCAGATTCACTGTTGCTTTTCTCCTGTGAAAGATGAAGATTTCTCTTTTGGACTTCCCCACCTCCGCCCGCATGCTCAACCTTTCCAGCGGTCCCGTTTGCTTGCCCCTCTCTCTACACTGTGGGTTTGGTTCGACTCGAGCTCAGTATTACCTGAGCATGAAATCGGTGCTCAGGGTATTAACAGCTGAGCCAGGTGGTGTACTGTGGTTACTTTATCTGTCCTCTTCAACTTTGTTGTCACGTGAAGAAATAATTCTTATGTTTCTGTGTGCTTTCTCAATATTTCAGTGTACTAATTGAATAGAGAGCCATACATTGTCTGTATCTCCGCTTGGTGGACTCAGATGCATCAGACATTTTAGAAGTCTCTCCTGGAGCCTTCTGTTCCAGAAGCCCTGCTACCCTCTGCCTGGCACACAGTTGCCATCCCGGCTCCTTCTTTCACCATTGCCCCTTTGGTGTTTGAATCTCTCGGTTCTTGGATTCTTTGTCCTGCGTCCTCCTTGTTTTGGTGGTGTAGGTAGTCCTGGAGCTCGCTTAGCACAGGAAGGACATTTTGTGAGACCTGGTTGGGAAGATGTCTTCTATTCTGGCTGAGTATACAAATCTGTTGTAAATCATTCTCATTCAGAATTCCTTCCTGCAACTTAATCTTCTAATCCTTCTATTCAGTTTTCTTAACATCCTGTTGTTGATTCATGAGTGCCTGAAAATTGCTTTTCTAATCTCACTGGTTTTGGGGTTTATTTTGGTTTGTTTTTCTTCTTTTCTCCCTGGAGTTTCTGTTTCTGTACTGCTTTATTCTGCTTGCTGGTTGTGCCTTCTACTCCTTTGCACTGGGTGCTTTCCTTGGATTCTGGTTCCTCAGTGTGGGCGTCATATGTTAAGGGTGGGGCCGTAAGGAGCAGACTAGAAACCTGGGCTCGGGATGCTTGTGGGTTGGCTAGGGGTGGGGGGCTGGTGGCCTGTAGGCTTCACTTAGGATGATTGCCAGCCTGTTTCTTTGGAGAAGCCCTGATGTCAGTATCTTTAGTCTTTCCCAATGAGCAGGCCAGGTTCCCCAGAGAAGTATTCTCCAGTCTCTCTGCTGACAGACTCTTGGAGCCCAGTTACGGAAGACAGTTGGAAGTGTTGCAGCTCATCATGCAGACGTTTGCTTGACATTGCCCCTGTTTTCGTCATGGTGCTCCTACTTCCACTGTGCCTGGTGCCCCTGGTCCAGCCCCCAGGTCTTTCACCTTCTGCAGTGAGCAGCCCCACCCCTTAATTTTACCAGAGTTACAGAGGGGTAGTAAGGTGGTTGCCTGGTCACCCGGAGTGGGGAAGGAAACCTGGGGATCATCCTGAGCAGACTTTAACTGATTCTCTTGTTTTTAGCCTCATTTTTACCCCACTTTCAGAAATGCCCGAGCCTTTGGAAGGGAGAGGGTTCTGTTTGACGTCCCCCCCGAAGATTTTGGTGTCAGTTTACTAAGCTTACTGATGTTTTGGAAGATGGGCAGAAAAGCAAAATGCTATGTTGTCAGTCTAATTTGAACCATTCGGCAAGGAATGCCCATTAAAAAGGTCTGGATGATCTCCAGAGAGTGGTGAAGAAATTTAAAGAGTCTTAAATCTTTTTTCTTTTTTCTATTTATTTATATTTGGCTGTGTTGGGTCTTCGTTGCTGCGTGCGGGCTTTCTCCAGTTGCAGCAAGCAGGCTTCTCATTGAGGTGGCTTCTCTTGTTGTGGAGCACGGACTCTAGGCACGTGGGCTCAGTAGTTGTGGCTCGCAGGCTCTAGAGCGCAGGAGTTGTGGCGCACAGACTTTGTTGCTCCGCGGCATGTGGGATCTTCCTGGAGCAGGGCTCGAACCCGTGTTCCCTGCAGTGGCAGGCGGATTCTTAACCCCTGCGCCACCAGGGAAGTCCCTAAATAATCTTTAGAAAGCTTTGCAGTTAAAATACAAATATGTTTTAACTAAGTACAATATTACCTGCATCTGGGTACTTTAATATTCCCAGCTCTGCCAGTGCGTCATCTCGGACAGGTGTTTTGATTTCTCACTAACTTGTTTCCTCGTATGTAAAGTGGGAATAACTTGTGCCTGATAAAGCTCATGCAAGGATTAAATGAGAACATGTATGTAAAGCCCTAGCGTATTGGAGAGCACTCAGTGGATAGGAGCCATTTATTCACCAAGGGTCTTAACTGAGTTTTGTTTTTTAATTTTTTATGTCTTTCCCTCATAATTTTTTACTGGGATATAATGCACTTATCATTCCCCTTCAGAGTGGTTTTCAGTATACTTACAGAGTTGTGCAACCATCACCACCACCTTTATTTAGGCATCTGTATCTGTCATGAGTTTCCAGAGTTTCTGGATCATGGGACTTAGTTAAGGAAATGCTTTTTGTTGCTAACCTGTCTCGCTTTATCTCTTGCAGGAAAGTTCACATCCTTGGTTCTTTCCAAAACATCAAGATGGCAAGAACTGCTATTTGCAACCTCATCCTGGGTAACAGCAGTTTCTTCCTATGTTGTTTTCTCTGAAAGAAAAGAATAGGGAATTTAGGAACTCAGATCACATTGGCAGGTCACTTTAGGGTCAGGGTGATCATAAAGGTAGCAAGCAGAAACTCTTGGGGGTTGACAAATGTGGGCCCAGAGAGAAAGCAGGAATATTTTTGCTTGGATTCCGTCTGCAAACCCGAGAGAAAGAGTTTATTGGATTACATTGCTTACATCATCGCTACGTCCCCTGATGAGGTGCACTAGGGAGCCCTTCCAGAATAGCAGGCAGCATTGTTTCAGGTTCAGCCGAAAGGGAGCTGCTGAGCAGCATCAGTCAGTCATCTTAATTGACTTACTTAGTCCCATTTTCAAACCACGAAGCACAGTCACTTGCGGTCAGAGCCGTGGGTTGTAGCGCTTGCTCGGGAAATGTGTGGTATTCACCGTGGTGCCCAGGTCAGTTGTGCCCAGGTCTGACTGGCTGCTTTTCGAAACATTTTGACAACTCGGTGTCTTTGGCTGTTAGGATTTAAAATGTTCTTTGGAGAATATTTATGTGGTTTCCTTTATGGTTCTTTTGTTGATTTAAGGTAGATCCAGCGGAAAATGTCCCTGTCCTTTGTAGAGTTGCAGACCATTTTCCATGTAGCATCTATATGTATATGTGTGGATAAGCTTTTTTATTTTCTCCTGCAGGAAATCCTCCATCAAAGGTTTATGGCAACATTCGTGCTGTGGCTAGCAGAGCGGCAGACCGATTCTGATTTCAAATCAGAGACTTTTTATCTTGTCTTTGAACTCTAGAGAAAAAGCCTTTCCCCTCTACAAGTGGTCACCAGACACCATGTGAAGAACTTTTCAGTCATGGATACCATTATTTATACTAGCACATTAAGTATAATTTATTTTTTCTGTTTTAAATCACATATAGATTTGCATAGTTTATAATCCTCTCATTTGGAGGGAAACTTATTTTAAGAAACAGTTCTGTATTAGCTTCTAAGTTTTTTGTTTATAAATTTAGAAAAAGTTATTTCTTCTCTATGAGTTGTAATTAAAAGAATTATTTCAGAAAACCTCTCTTGACTTGTGACCCTTAATACTGGATGGTGTGTGAATATTTTAGACCCAGGTCATAGCAGCAGTTTGGATATACTCTGTGAACCAAGGAAGGCTAATATTTGTACCTATTTTTGCAGTTTGTAAAATTAAAGACTACATCACAAGGTTGGTGTGAGGAAAGAGTTTTATTTTTTAAATAAGTGTTTAATGAAAGCAGTCAGACCTTACCAGTGTTTGGGTATACTTCTTCTTAGTAAAGGTGAAATATGATAAAAGAATATTTTTACCCCTAAGAAAACTACTATATTCTGCAAATGTAATAGATTGTTTTAACAGGTGTCTGCCTAAATGTTCTGATTTATATTATGCATTTTAATGAAAGAAACCTACTCCATTAAACTGTGTGATGTTATTCTCTTGTACATCTCTACAACTCTTGACCAAAACTTTAATGATAGGAGTATTAGAAAGTACATGTAAGAACTAGAAAAAGTGTTGTTTTTAAGTATTGCTATTAAGCTTTCTATTAGTTACATGTGCCACTATCCCAAACTAGTTTGTACATTGCATTGGGATTAGATACACTTAATATTACAGTGGGAATCCAGTGGGAAATTGCTGGAAATGTCCCAGCAGTAATTTTTTTTTTTTTTTTCGGTACACGGGCCTCTCACCGTTGTGGTCTCTCCCGTTGCGGAGCACAGGCTCCGGACGCGCAGGCTCAGGGGCCATAGGCTCACGGGCCCAGCCGCTCCGCGGCATGTGGGATCTTCCCAGACCGGGGCAGATGAACCCGTGTCCTCTGCATCGGTAGGCAGACTCTCAACCACTGCGCCACCAGGGAAGCCCAGCAGTAATTTTTTTATCTTTTGGCAACACAACAGCATGGAGAGTGTATGTGTATGTTGATATCATTTTACTCATATCCTTTTGAAAAGGAATTTGTCGGGACTGTCTTATTCTGGAGCCTGCAAAGGCTTCAGGAGGTACTTGCCTACCCCCCACGCTGTGTCCGGGAAGTTATATGCAAAATTGTGAGTACTTAGGGTGTACTTTTCTAAGGAATGGGTCCACAGTTTTAATCAGGTTTCCAAAGCGCTTGGCTGAGATGAACCATCGCTACGTAACCATGAACATTTTGTGTTGATTCTTAAAGAGCATAATTTTGATTGGAAAAACGGGTTTTCTATGTTAAAGTGAAGTAATCTTTTGGTATTGTTTGCATTTACTTCCTTTTGAAGATTTCTTACGTAGTTAGAACTATCAGTAATATAAGAGCAAATGTATTTCTTTGGCAGTTGCTAAAATTTGGGATACTGAACTTTTACCGTCTTGAGTTTTGGGCCTCTCCCTGGGCAAACATCCCCAACCCCCAGGGAATCAGCACTGCTTGGGGCTTGAAAGGGAAACAAAATGTTAGAGGAAACCCAGCTAATTCCTGGAATGGAATAATGAAGAAATAATAGAGGTAATACATCTGACTACATCACAGTGGTAGTTGCAGTGGGAGTTGATCTTGACCTGGATCAAGTCACTTCTTCAAATTCTTCTCTAAGGCCTGGACATGAAATCTAATACCAGAAACCTTAGCGATGCTTATCCATATTTCTATGGCATCTGTCATGCTAACCTGTGATTATTTTAGTGTCTGCCTCCCACCTTAAAGCCTCTGATCTTTAGATTCTCAGTATCTAGTACAATTTCGGACACATCGTATAACAGTTTATTAACATATTAATTGCTACTTGGCTGGGGAATGGGCATGAAAGAGGAGTATTTTCTTAGATATTGAGTGGCCGGTAAGGGAAGAGACCTTGTTGTTTCCTCCTAGTCGTTCCAGAAGATTTGAACTCCAGTTCTCATCCTATCTACAGAAGAAAGCTCACGTTCATTGAGCATCTGGGAAAGAGACCTGATTTTTCTGATTCCAGAGCCATGGGACAGCATGCTTAATGTTAGATTATTGAGTACACGGTGACAGTGTACATAACCATCCTACAACTTGCAAAATGCTTGTAATTATACAAATGTTAAGTACTCATTTGGTGAAAGAAATCAGTAATCTTCAAAGACACCAGTAATCTGAAGGAGGTTTGGGAGAGCAAGGACTCGCTAATTTGATCTGGTTAGCTGATAAATTTATAATGCCCAAAGGCTGAAGTGGCAGTGGACTTTAGCTTAAAATGTGAGCTAATTTAATGAGCAATTTTTGAGCATGTGGGAATTTTTGAAGACTAAGAATTGTTTGAAGGACTTCCCTGGTGGTGCAGTGGTTAAGAATCCGCCTGCCAATGCAGGGGACACTGGTTCGAGCCCTGGTCCGGGAAGAGCCCACATGCCGCACAGCAACTAAGCCAGTGCGCCACAGCCACTGATCCTGTGCTCTAGAGCCCGTGCGCCACAACTACTGAAGCCTGCACGCCTAGTGCCCGTGCTCCGCAGTAAGAGAAGCCTGCGCACCGCAACGAAGAGTAGCCCCCGCTCGCCGCAACTAGAGAAAGCCCACGTGCAGCAGCGAAGACCCAGTGCAGCCAAAAAAAAAAAAAAAAAAAAAAAATCCATTCTATAAAACAAAAATTGTTTCAAGGCATATATGAGCTTGAACTCGTATCATTTTAAGTGATATGAACTTATATCATTTTAAGTGATATGAATGATATTATATCATTTAAGTGAACTCATATCATTTCTAAGTCCTGGAAAGTATCCAGAAAGATTTCTACCACCTTGTCTACTCTTTCTTTTAATCTGTGGTAAAATATACATGATTCACCATTCTAGCCATTTCAAACTGTACAGCTCAGTGACACTAAGTACGTTCTCACGCAACCATCATCCACCATTTCCAGAACTTTTATCTTCCCCATCTGACAGTAGCCATTCAACACTAACTACTTACCCCTCCTCCTGGCCCTTGGGAACCACCATTCTACTTTCTGTCTCTATGAGTTTGACAACTCCAGGAACTTATATAAAAAATACAGTATTGGGCTTCCCTGGTGGCGCAGTGGTTGAGAGTCTGCCTGCCAATGCGGGGGACACGGGTTTGTGCCCCGGTCCAGGAGGATCCCACATGTCGCGGAGCGCCTGGGCCCGTGAGCCGTGGCCGCTGAGCCTGCGCGTCCGGAGCCTGTGCTCCGCAACGGGAGAGGCCACAGCAGTGAGAGGCCCGCGTACCGGAGGGGAAAAAAACCCCAGTATTTGTTCTTTTGTGACTGGCTCTTTTTTCTTAGTGTGTCTTCAAAGTTCATCCGTGTTACAGCATGTGTCAAAATGTCCTTTTATGGCTAACATCCCATTGTATGTATATACCACATTTTGATTAGCCATCTGTCATGGGTGTTCTGGTTGCTTACAAGTTTTGGCTACTGTGAATAATGCCGCCGTGAACGTGGGTGTGCCAACACTTCTAGTCCCTACTGTCACTTCTCTTGGGCAAGTATCCAGAAGTGGAATTTCTGGGTCACATGGTAAATCTGTGTTTAATTTGAGGAACCATTATACCATTTTTCCACAATGACTACACCATTTGATATCCACACCAGCAGTGCACAACAAGCCTTCCAGCTGCTTCATATCCTTACCAACACTTTTATTTTGCTGATGGCAATGCTAACGGGTATGAAGTGGTATCTTATTTTAATTTGCATCTCCATAATGACTAGTGATACTGAGCATCTTTTCACGTGGTGGTGACCATTTGTGTATCTTTCTGGAGAAATACCTATTCACGTCCTTTTGCCCACTTTTTAATCAGGTGGTTTTTTGAGTCGTAGTCTTGACATATTCTAGATAGCAATCTCTTAGCAGATACATGATTTACAAATATTTTCTCCCATTCCGTGCACTGCTGTTTCACTCTGTCATCTTTTCTACTCTTAAGACTATTAGAACTAGGTAAAGAAAGGGAGACCTAGGGTTTAAAATGTTAACTCTTGGTTTAGGCCTAACTAACCTATACTCCTAGTTCAAAGAGCCAAGGAATCCAGTGCATAGTGTCTCATAACTAGTGCATGCCTGACAATATGGGTGTTTTGGGTATAAAACACCAAGAGCCCATAATTCATGTGGGCCAGGTACATCATTTCCCGTCACAAGAACCTCACGTGCTTATTACAGTGCAGGCATGGCACGGGAACCCTACAGAGTTGCTGAATGAATAAAAGTCTCAAAATTATACTAATGCTTACCTTTTATGAAGTGAGAAAGTAGGGGATAGAATTTAACATCACAACCTGAAGAAACAAGGTGTCTCCTATTACCTAATTCATCGATTACGTATTCATTAAACACTAAAAACTAGGCAGAATCTAGACAACCAGGTCTATCAGTGAACAAGGGACAGAAATCCCTGCCCTTGGGGAGCTTTCATTCGTGTCATTTCCATAACCGGGGAAGACAAATACAAAATGCTTAAGTGAATCATGTCAGAAGAGGTTAAATGCTATGGAAGAAAACAGAGTGGGGTAAAGGAGAATCAGGTGTATTAGTGTGTTTAAATGGTGGCCAGGAGAGTTCCTGTTGAACCAGGACACGGCTGAAACCCTTGGAAGCATTCCCTGTGGGTAGCCTGGTGGGGGCGAAGAGACGGTGCACAGGCCTACAGAGGAAGCACTCCAAAACTTGGGGAAGCACAGAGGCAAAGGAGGCTGGAAGCAGAGGAAGGGTGACACACCGGGTTCTGCAGGTCATTGTGATGACTTGTGTTTTCACCCAGTGACAGAGCAGACTTACTTATGGCTCATAGTCGAAGATCAAATGTCAACTTACTAGAGTTTTTAAAAAATCTGAAAGAGTGGAAAAAGACTATCCAATGGCTGGGAAAGCCTGAAGACCACTGTGAATACACTCAATCAAGTTTCAAATATTTTATTTTCTTATTCATACAGTATGAAGTTTTCTAAAGATCCCACAACATGATGTTTCATGCAGAAGAAAAACTAAACATTCAACATAAACCATCCCTCCCCACCCACCCACGCACGCTAAAAAAAAAAAAAAAAAGAAAAAGAAAAAACCCTCAGTCCCCAGTAAGGAAATAATGTTTGCACTATTTTTCTGT